GTCATGGTTAGCTAAGCGTGGAAGACTGTCCGAGAAGTCGACCTGATTAGATAGTCGGTCCGGAAAGTTAGCACCTTGGGGCTCGACATACGGGTCAGTCTTAAGGCGTTCTACCGCGCGTATGCCTATGCTACGGCGATCGACAAAACGCCCTCGGCTGGCCTACCTCTGCGATTGCATATAAGAGTCTTCGTATGTGGGTCAGTAGCTCAACAGGGATACACCCACCTAAGGGATGGTGACAGCTCCCGCAGGTGGAGGTATGTTGTACCTCGCGGGACCCTAACCTGTCGTAGGGAGTTGCGAGAGGTATAGCACGCGCACACGGTCGGAGTTGGTATTGCGTAAAGTGACCAAGAGACTTCTGCGTGACACGACCGCGAGGTCCGACACAAAAACTACTTTGCATCTGGGTGTGGGACCGCCACGCGCGACAACGTGTAGCTCTTACTCCAGGTGGAGGCTGAATCATGTAGACGAAGTTGTTATACGATCTTTCCCAATCGGATCACCAACTGATATGGGTGCGTAAATACAAGCGATGGCAATCACCAGTTATTTACGTACCCCGGTTGTCAGGTACCCCCGATTATGTGCACCGATATGCGCAGTTACAACAATGTTTTTTTCCTAAAAAAATAACTTTTCGTAACCGATGGTAGAGAACACACTTTTCATCCTTAGCAGTACATTCAAAAGTATGCAAAGATTTGAGCGGTGATCACATAGTAAATGAAAGTCTCCAAGAATCAGAGTCATGCCATATGGTTTAAACGACAGTGCTAGACAAATGAAAGCGAGGACAATGAGGTTTAATCATTACGCCACGGAATGCGAGGATTACTTTGATCACTTAAATAAAGGGACACACTGGGTTCCTCGTACATTTGGGCACTCGAGGAACGGAGATATGAATAACCAAGGTCTCTCATTATTTCCACTCATCGATTGTCGCGTGTTGTTCTCACCCCTATCGCTTGCTGATTTTGCAAACAAGGTTGCTACAAGACTTTTCCCCACGGGACCACCAGCTGATCGGGGTGCGTAAATACGAATGATGTCTATCGCTTGATATTTACATATCCCGGTTGCTAGATATTCCTCCAAATATGCGTAGCGAAAACATAGATATGCGTAAATTATAGCTATGTTTTCTTCACGTCGTTGCCAACAACCAATGGAAGAGAACCACTATACATCCCATGCAGCACATTCATGCAAAGATTTGAGCAGCGATCCATAGCAGACAAAAGCAATTGAAAAATCCATTCCATCACACGATTTCACTCTTTAAAGCAATCGTTCATGAAACAAAAAGCGTGCCACTTTACTTCCATAGTTTGATCCTTTCAGCAAAGAAGTCACCTCAACCACCGCCACCCTTTTACCCGAGAAAGAAGGGAGAGAGAAGGAAAGTAAGAAAAAGAGGGAGAGATGAAAACAGAGAGGAGGGAGAAGAGACGTATCCCGTATCAGGTCATGCACGTCCAGACACTCTACTTCGGTACTTGAGGGTACCCTGAGTTCAACTGACCGATCCGCAGGAAGGGAGTCGCCATCCCTAAAGCGCTTTTCTGCTTCGACCACACAAAGTGTCATCAGAGGGAACACCTTTCATGGTCTTTGGAAGGAAAGGAGAGATGATGGGAGGAGAAAGAGGAAGGGGAAAGGGGGGGGGAAGAGGCGGACGACTAGGAGATTAGAGGTGTAGGAGGACATGGGGAAGGGGTGGGGGAGATGGGTGGGGTGATGGGCAGCACCAGGATGAATAGCAGCAGTGCCAACAGTGCCAGCAGTGCCAATTGTGCCAAGAAGGCTAGGAAGCCGAGAAAGTTGCAGGCCGCCCAATCCATTGCTTCCTGCTTCTCTTCCACCTTCATACTCCTAGCGCTGCCTCTATTGCTCCGACCGCGATTCTAGTTCCGACAGCAATGCAGCAGAGCGCGAGCGAGAGCGTAAGTGCAGCGAATAGAATTGCCAATGTCGTGACCCTGTATGAGATCCTGGCCAACTTCAACCAGATGGACTCTTCTTTGCTGAGCCACACCACTGCAGCTGCGATGGCAATATTAGGGATAAGCGGTAGCAAAAATACTGCGATGAGATGGAAGCAGATGAGAAACGACAGCGGCGCTTGCAAGGAGGTTGCCACGATACACGTATTCATTGTTTGCCTATCAGATTTGCTTAGTGCCCTGCTACAGAGCAGAAAGTTTCCTGCTAATGATTGCTATGGAAGATGATGAAATTATACCACTCCCTCATTGTCCCCTTGCTCCTTCAGCTGGTTGAGGTCGATTTCGACGCCCATCACGGAACTAGTTGCTCCGACCTGCTCCACTCGTACGTTGCCTTTGCAAATTCACGCACATCGCTGCTTTCACCACCGGCTTGTTTGCTTACTCGCTGATTCCCAACCCTTACTGTTCCTTCTCTTTATTCAGGCGTCCCTGTCTCCTATCTTGTCGTCTTCCGAGATGAAAAATTCAAAAATTAGTTCCTTCCGCACGCTTAGTGGACCATGCCCCCTTAATTGGCGCGGCTTTCCTTAGAGACGGACATGGGATGTGAACCGAAGGGTCCTTCGGCAATTTTGTGAAAAAAACGCATCGTGATAGCAATTCCTAGGCTCTATACATCCTGAAAAAATGGACGCACCATTCGAACGCCATTGGCCTGTTTTATTTTGGCTTTTACCCCTTCGTTCTGCAAATTTATCGTTCAAGGGTTCAATCCTACCCAACCATTGTTGCTTGTGAACTTCAGGCCTTATTGGCTTTTCTCGAAAGGGTCAGCGAGGGAGGAATGGATCGTGGAAACAAAAGTGACAATTCGAATGCAAAAATCTAAAAAAATAAATTTTAAAAAGGGGAAAAAAAGAAAAAARAAAAAARAAAAAAAMRAARAARAARARAAAAAAAARAAAAAAARAARAARAAAAAAAAAAAAGAAAAAAAAAAAAAARRAAARAARAAAAAARAAAAAARAAAAAAGAGAGAAAAGAAGAACAAAGAAGAAAAAAACGGAAAAGAGAAAGAAAGGAAAAAGGGAAAAAAATCTTCGATCAAATCGTTACAAGGAGAAACACAGCCGTAGGCACGAGTTCCGAGCATGAACGCAGAATAATTTGTCTATTCATGCCGTAGATTTGCCACTGCATTTCTCCTGCGGATTCTTCCGAGTCCTCCTGGAGGGGTCTTCTTCGTTTTTTTTCGTCTTCCCTCTTTTTTGTCCCTCCTGCTTGTGTGTGTGTGTGTGTGTTGTCATATCCGCTATACACTCAAAAAAAGCATGACTGTACCAGACTGTTTCTTCGAACTTTCACCGACTCATCAGGAGGTTGAACCCCGACAGCGCGCGTGCGCGCGCGCGCGCGCGCGTGTGTGTGTGTGTGTGTGTGTGTGTGTGTGTGTGTGTGTGTGTGTGTGTTTTGAGAACCCGAGACTCTCTCTCTCTCTCTTATTCCCCCCACAAATCATCAAAAAAAAGACAATAGTAGTAAAAATTGCAAGGTTGGCCACGTTTGTGTGGTTCAGAGCCAAGTGCCCACACACCCGTCTGCCGCCTAAGCGGCACACTTGCACATATACATATGTACACATATTTTTCATAAATCCATAAAGGGATGGAGGGCAAGAGGCAACAACTTACCTAAGGCAGAAGACTCCTCCAGCAAGAAGGCACCGACCCAACCCTCCAAAGGTCCAAAAAAACTTGGAGAGCCTTTCGCATTGGCCCACAAAACCAGGAACTCGATAACACAAAGACAACACAGTACTGCAACTTACCTAAGACAGAAGGCACCGACCCGAAACCCCCCAAAGGTCCCCAAAAAACTTAGAGAGCCTTCCATCCGAAAAAACTTGGAGAGCCTTCCGCGTCGGCCACAAAACCAGGAAGTCGATAACACAAAGACAATACAAGTACCACAGCCTTGGCACACCTTTCATCCCAAACTACACACTGGCATCACTGCCGACAGGGTGGGAGGTAAAGGAACTTACCTAAAACAGAAAACTCCTCCAGCAAAAAAGCACAGCACAGACCCGACCCTAAGACTCCAGCAAAAAAGCACAGCACAGACCCGACCCTAAGACTCCAGCAAAAAAGCACAGCACAGACCCGACCCCCATAGGTCCAAAAAGATCTTGGAGAGTCTCCCACGTCAGCCCACAAAACATACATTCCCACCCCCCAAAAAATCCGAGGCCACCCATAAACATCCATAAAGATCCAAACAGCCCATGCTCTAAAGCAGGGCAAAGAATTAGGCCATGTATAATAAACAAAACCTCCAAAACATATCCAATCCACTAAAAAGGAAGAATAGCTCGCTAGTACGAGCCCGATCATAGCCGCTCAAATCTGCTGCCAAGACAGAGAGCTAACAAGACTGAAATGTGTGTTCTTTAAGAACCCCAGACTCTCTGACAAAGAAACAGAAAGATGAAAGGGAGGAGGGCTCAAATCTGCTGCCAAGACAGAGAGCTAGCAAGACTGCCAGTGGAATGTGTGTTTTTTAAGAACTCCAGACTCTCTGTCTTATTCCCCACACAAATAATCCAAAAAATGACAAAGAAACAGAAAGATGAAAGGGAGGAGGGCTCAAATCTGCTGCCAAGACAGAGAGGCAGCAAGACTGGAATGTGTGTTTTTTAAGAACCCCAGACTCTCTGTCTTATTCCCCCCACAAATAATCCAAAAAAAGACAGAGAGAGAAAGATGAAAGCGAGGGAGTGAAAGGGAGGAGGGGAGAAATCCGATGAGCGCACCACAAAAAATGTGTAACATATGGACACATAGGGCGTCGCTGCACTACTCTCGACATGCACAAAAGACAAAAATCATGGCGGTGTATCTGTCCATATTCTAGCAGAAGATTCACTCTCGTTTTGCACATTTCKAGAGTAGTGCAGGGAGGCCCATACAGTGAAACGTGCAAATGCCATACTGCTCACAGGAACACCAGTGTAGAAGCACCCAAAGGAGAATTTGGTGTATATTTAGTTAGCAACGGAACCAATCGTCCTTATGGAAAGAATTCCCTCACCTTTTTTCTTTTCGTAAATGAACTGTCACTGTCTGTCAGACTTTTTTTTTTTTTTTTTTTTTTTTTTAAAACAACCCCCTCCAGTGCTAGAGGTGCTGGTAAGAGCCAAGTCACTGTCTGTCAGTCTATTTAACACTAATTGGGTTATAATTGGAAAGTACCCGGCCCATGTGGCTGAGTTATCCACACAGGGAACTACCCCTAAACAAACGACGAATTCACATCCTGATGAAAGGATATGAATACAACAAAGTAAGAAGCTACCCATTTACTTTAACAAAAAAAAAGGGAATGACCGGAAAGTCACTACCGTTCACAAAAACAAAGACGAAAGGAAAAAAGAAAGAAACCATCGATATCGAGATCCATGTTTCACGGCAGAGCTTTTCGCTTCTCCGAGTACTTTTGCACTGAGTCTCCCATGCAGTCATAAACATCCAACTTTCCAATGAGCAATATGCTGCTGACCACCTGCCCTTCATTGCTGGCTAACCACTCCATCCCCGCTTTCTCGGACACTGTTCTACATTTTTCATTCCCCTCGCATGCACCCCTCTCTCTCTCTCTCTCTCTCTCTCTCTCTCTCTCTCTCTCTCTCTCTCTCTCGCATGCACCCCTCTCTCTCTCTCTCTCTCTCTCTCTCTCTCTCTCTCTCTCTCTCTCTGTGGCTGCGTGCATATATGGCCCTCTCGCGACTGCCCGCCCTCTCTCTCTCTCTCTCTCCCCGTGGCTGCGTGCATATTTCCACCTGTGTGCATATATTGCCCTCTCTCTCTCTCTCTCTCTCTCTCTCTCTCTCTCTCTCTCTCCGTGGCTGCGTGCATGTTTCCACCTGTGTGCATATATGCCCCTCTCACAACTGCCCGCCAGCGCCCCCCGTGTCTTGATGAATTGTTGACTTCTCCTTTTCGGTAAACCACACCGTCAACGCCACGTCAGCTTCTCCCTCCTCTGCTGCTGCTGCTGCTGCTGCTGGTGCAATCCCTGCTACTGTGGATGGTTTCTTTGCCCATCACAGCGGATCCGTCCGTTGCTCCTTTCCCTGCTCATCCTTTGGCTACCATCTCCAGCTGCTGGTCCTTTCCTTTCTTGACAAGTTCCTGACTCGACATGTCCGGTCACTCTCCCGTCTCCTCCCCTTACCTCTTCTCCTCTCCTCTCCAACTCACACAAATGCATTGCAGGCATCACTGGTACTTGCCACTACCTATTCTTAGTAATCTCTCCCTTCCCTTCACTCCCCTCCTTTCCCGGTGACTTTTCTGCGTCTGGAGTTGGTCGTTTACCCACCGTCTCTGTCGTTTCCTTTGCAGCTGCCGCTGCTGCTGCTGCACGCACTACTCCCTCCTCTCCTCCTCCTGCTCCCTCCTCCTCTTTCTCTTCGCCTGCTCCCTCCTCCTGTTCCTCATCCTCGGACACTTTGAAAAATGTGTACGACAGCGTGAGAGAGGTGATGTCATCCATCTTGGGATCCGTCGCAAATTCCCGGTCGATGTAGAAGAAGACTGGCATGTCGATGACCTCACCCGGCTGCAATCTCTGCTCTTCGAAACAAAAACATTGAATTTTGTTGAAGTATGCCCCAGCCTTCTGCGGACTGACATTATACGTGGCGACGCCGGTCACCGGTTTGTCGCTCATGTTGTGCGCCGTGTAAAACGCCAACGTACTCTCTCCGGGTCGCACAAGTACGTCGCGCTGACACGGCACGAACTTCCAAGCCATGCCCTCTGCGACGTCGGCATTGAATCGGACAAGAACATCTCGATTTCTCGCGGCGGCGACGAGATCTTCCCTCTCCTCCTGATCACCGATCTTCTCTTCGATGGTCTGACGCCGTCGGATCGTCCCGCCGAATCCAGTTGCCTGGCAAAACATACGATACAGGGGGACAGCGGCGTAGGTGGTCCCCACCATGGCAATCACCATGGCCAGCAAGTAGAGCATCATGGAGTAAGATCTGCCGGATGTAGCGCGAGCCATCTCCTCCGCAAGTCGAGATTTCGGGATCGACGGCCGAGCAACGCCCCCTCCACCCTCGCTCTCGCCTCCGCCGCTGGAAGACCCGCGTCGCTGAGACTCTGACGATGGTTCTTTGCTCCCGGTTGTCATCCCTGACGATGATGACGATGATGATGAAGGAGAAGAGGAGAACTCTCTGAGTCCTGAAAGGAGAAAGTAGTCTGGATTCTTCCCGCTGCACGCGGTAGGTATTCCATCTCGACCGCCATAGCTACCACCAGGCATGAAGAGCATAGCTCCGCTTGCGCCGGCATGGATCGCCGCCGGCACTCCTGCAGTCCTAATTAGGGTTGTCAGGATCGTTGCGCCTCTCCACTCGCGAGAGGTCGACGGATCGAACTCCCAGATTGCTGCCTCCATCCTTCTCAACAATCTATCTCGAGTTGATGGGTACACATCATTGGCGCAAACGTCTGAAGAAGAGGCAGATGCCGGGGGGGGGTTGAAGCAGCGACAGCAGTCGCTAGAGGAGGAGGAGGAGGAGGAGGAGGAGGAGGAGGAGGGGAGAGAGGAGGTTCTCTCTGCAGGCAATTCATGGTGGGTACTGCTTGCCCCTGCCCGGGAGTGTTGTATCATCATCATCAGTCGGGTCGTCTCTTCCAACCTCCCAGCAGACAAGAATCCCCTGCTGGGAGGAACATCCGCCGTCATCCTCCTGCCACGTGTCGACATCGGCGACAGCCACGTGTCACCATGGTGGCGGAGTTTTCCCAGCAGCTTGTCTGCTTGACGCCATCGCCACGTGGACGATGCGCCGCCGCAGAAGTCATCAGCCGTCGATCCGGAATCGACTTTGGAAATGTTCCCCGACGATCGCGGCGGCGGCGGCGGCAGCGGCAAATTTAGACTCGATCCCTCGACCTCCCCCTCAAGGCAGACTCTCGATGGTACCCCTCGTCGGTAGCGGGCCGCCGCTTGTAAAGTCGCCCATGGACCATGGGCACCCCCCCCTCCACGGTGGAAAGACCGCCGTAACGTACGTTCGAACAATCTGGAGGTCATCTCATCAACGCTGTTGTTGCCGCGGTCGGCCTTGTCAACGTACTAATTAACTTGTCCGATCTACTGTCGTGGTTATTCACGTGCAGGCATGGGTGAATAAAATGGTAAGCCGAGAGAGGTGCGCGGACTATTTCTGTCGAAATTCAACGAGAACGACGATCAAAGAGGAGGCGGGGAATAGTACGGACACTGCGGGGAATAGTACGGACACTGCGGGGAATAGTACGGACACTGCGGCGAATAGTACGGACACTCGTGGATGTCATGCACACACAGGTTGCTTCCTCAGGGATCAATCAATCAATCAATCAATCAATCCACAGTTTGCATCCACATGTGCAGGTCCAATGCCAATCCGTAAGTTTCGGTTTATCGAATGATCGATCCACCGATGATTGATTGATTGATTGATTGATTGACGCACCAATTCGAACTATTTTGGTAGTCGCAAGGTATATATTGATGACGTCATGCACCAGTTTGCTTCCTCGGGAGGTATATATTGATGACGTCATGCACCAGTTTGCTTCCTCGGGGACTCACAAATGTGCAGGTCCAATGCCGATGGATGCATACGTTGCAGTTTATCGAATGATCGACCTATTGATCATTGATTGATTGATTGATTGATTGATTGATTGATTGACTCACCGGTTCGAACTAGTGGCACGGTATTGATTGATCTGTCTGGAGGTTGATTGACGGATGAAAGGCGTGGTCGTTCTCACGAAGCCCAGCGCAAGCAAGCATCCAACGGCA